TAACGTAAGTAAGTAAGTAAGTAACGTAACGTAACGTACGTAGTACGTAGACGAGAGACGAGAGACGAGAGAGAGAGAGAGAGAGAGAGAAGGAGAGAGAGAGAGAGAGAGAAGCTTTCAGGGAGTGCTAGCCAACCATTGCTAATTTGTTGGTGTGGCAAAAATATTGAGACAAACCATTGGGTTTGTTAAATCACTATTATATCAATAAAAAAATCGAAAACCAAAATCAAATTATCATTGATTCTCAAACACTAATCAACATAAAAGAATTTCACAGTGCCTCCAAATGGTTCAATGATTTCTCATTATCGTGCCAAAGTTGAACACATAAGAGAAATTTGCATCAACTTGAACACACTGCAAACCAAGAATACAAAACAAGCAAAAAAACGAAAAATAAATAATCAAACTCAACAAATACCTGAACATTGTGGCCTTTCCAGAAAGATGGATCTCTTGAACCTCAGATCCACCATCATGGCTCTCCCTCTATCTAATGCTACAAATTGGTTGAACTAGCGACTCTTTTGAAGCAGATTTCGCCAAAGCAGGTGAACATTTGACCTCTGATGAGGGCACAGGCGCTTCCTGAAACCCGAACCTATTTCTAAAAGCACTTGCTGTCTCTGAAAAAGTCGGCATTTTCTCTGTGTACTCAAGAAGAAGCCCTCTAACTGCAAAATACTAGAAATCCAAAGCCACAAGAATGTAAAACACGAGAACGTAGGGTTTTGGAAGGCCATAAAAATACAAATAAATGGTAGAAAAAAAGAAATTAACAGTTAAAATTGCAGATAAAGGCTCAAAACGTTACCCGGAATATATCAGAGAGAGACAGGTGAGAGAGCAGTGTCAAGTGGGTTAGAGAGAGAAAGGTGAGAGGTTTGCGGGGGGAAGGAGAGGTATGGGTTTTTAGAGAGAGAGAGATATGATCGTTATTTGGGTGGGTTACAAAGAGGGGTGTGAGGTTTGCAGAAGAGGGGTTTGGGCTCTGAGAGAGACGAGATTTGCAAAGGAGGGGTTGGGGGTTGAGGTTTGGGGAGAGAGAGAGAGACTAAGTTTGCAGAAGAGGGGGTTGGTTTTTTGGAGAGACAGAAACGATGTTTTAGGTTAGAGAAGAGAAGAGAAGAGAGAGAGAGGGAGGGGATTTCGAAAAGGGGCGCCATGAAAAATAAGACCTGATGTGCAGAAAAATATAACAAAAAAAGAAAAAAAAGAGAAAGCAACCGGCTGCCTGAACCATTTCAGCCGGTTGCTTCGGCACCAATCTGGACGATCTCTAAAGATCTAGGGTGACCACCTTATTTAAAAGATAAATAGTCTCACGCAGTGTTTAAAAAAACGTCGAGTCGAACCAGACTCGCCCGGTTCGACTCGGGAATCGCCATAGACGGATTGAATCGGCGAAAAAAACGGGAATCGTCCGGTTCTAGAGAGAACCGGACGATTCTGTTCAGTGACTCATCGATTCACTGTACGGACTCGCCGATTTCATACAGTGAATCGGCGAGTCCCGTACGGATTTTTTGTTTTGTAATCCATGATAGATTTTTTTATAATACTTGATCGATTTTTTTGTAATCCATGAGCGAATTTTTTTTTTTTTTGTAATCCATGATCGAATTTTTTGTTTTTGTAACCCATGATAGAATTTTTTGTAATCCATGATCGAATTTTTTGTAATCCATGATCGAAATGTTTGTTTTTATTTCTTCTAATCCATGATCGAATTTTTTGTTTTTTGTTTTTTTTTGTAACCCATGATAGAATTTTTTGTAATCCATGATCGAATGTTTTGTAATAC